AAAAGTGATTTCAGAGAAAGAGACAGATAGGAGAATAAGTGGGGAAGGTAAAAAGAGGAGACGGACCAAAGGTCAGACCAGATCAGATCGTGGTTTTAGCAGTCTCTACGTAGAGGAATCGTTTTAGCACAAAACCAAATGTAAGCAGACGCCAGAAATACACCAACCACGACCAAGTTCACATATATGGACCAACCGACCCCACACGAATCAGGGTAGTATCGCAAAGCTAAAACAATATTAAACAGGACCATAACAAGCAAATAGGTTCCCCATAAGCACTAAAGGACAATGATATGAGATATGTACATACAAGAAATTAGGTTCTAGAGCATCATGACATTGGGCTTCTCGAATGTTAACCAGTATGACGTCAAAACATAGTGAGAACAGGGTTAAGCTCTTTAGAACGGATGTGAGTGAGATTGGCAACCACCAAAGAACTACAGCAGTCGTGGTGACCTTTCGATTGAGTTGAATTGGGTGCAGATGCTGCGCATTCGTTCATAGAGATTCACTTCCAACTGCCGACTATACTTTGCACATGATCGGCCACCACGTAGGAAATGCACTAATGGTTATTAGCGTAAATATAGAGGCTGTACGAGGGAGAAGGCTAAGGTAATATCACACATTTCTCTCCTCTCGCTCTCTCTTACTTTTTCCATTCCCTAACATTCTGAGATAAAAGCCTGCTTCGAGAGGGGAGAGTCTGCCATAGTTTGGTATGAATCGAATAACCCATGTAAAGTAGTTAATGAGTATGCCGTTTGGGGATAATCAACGAGAGTCTCGCCAGCTTTACAAATGCTGGAATGCAATCGGTCAAAGCTACTCATCACACTGCATTCACTCATCCATCAGGCCACGTGGAACACAAAATATGCGCCATCACCTCGAAGTGAGATTACTGCACTTCTCGTCCTGTCGCACATTCAAGGAGGTAATCTACCCAACGAAATGTCACAAAAGCAAACTCACATCAGCAGGGACATTGACAATTGGATAGCAGGGCCCCCATTTCGACTGGATGTGATCCACCTTGATGTGCTCATTACAGTTGGCAAATATGATGAACACACCAGAAGAAGGAATGGCGGCTACGTGAGGAAGAAATTTTGTCAATTTATAGATTGCTTCACCTCCTGCAATTCAATACACGTCGAGATGTGAAAGACGAATCACCTCCTTCGAAACATGTTTCATGCCTTATGGCGGTACACTACTTACTTGTGAGGAGACTTCTGTCAACTCTGCATATTGGTACCTCTTTTTAAGCAACTGTTTCATCAAAATTATCATTAAATTCTGAAGCACAAGGCATTTCTAGGGAGTAATTTTAACCATTTTCCACCTAGACATGATGTCTCTGAAACATTCCGTTTATTCACATTTGCCTTAGTGACAACTCATACAAAAATTCTAAATTTTAGCTTTCCGCCTTCACTCTCTCCTGTCTATGAAGCTAATCAGTCGGCTGTCTAGAGAGCCACCATCAAAGATACTGAGAGACTGCTAAACCATCGTAAAATTTCTAGACATAGCGGCATAAACTCGAGACAACAAGGGATCTCAGCCTTAATATCAGCATAAAAGTAGGTCTGTAAAACTTGAAACAATTAAGTTCCATAAAATGGTTAATTAAAGGCTAAATTTGTTTAGAAGTTACGCAGCTACACAGGGCATTCCAAAAGCTAACAATAAGCGCCAATTTAAAAATCAAGGGATTAAACCCTAGTCACTTAAATCGTTTCCTTAATCCAACTTTGTGATCACTGGTAGTGAAGCTGCCAGAACCACCTAAATGATGACAAGTCCAGGTAAAACGGAGAGGCGGGACTTGCAGGCGATGAGGCAGAGGTACGCCTTGACTATGTCTGCGGGCACCATGCAGGCGAGAACGCTGACGGCGCCAACTATGCTGGAGGATATGATGCAGAGGATGTCGATGACGACATAGGCGATCAAGTTGTTTTGCATCCCCTAAACCACCCAAAAATAATGCACCATGCCAACGTAGTCGCAGATCACAGCTTATGAAAGAGCCTTTTTATGTGTTCTCCATTGTCAGTCAGTGTTTCAAATATGCCTTGATAATTTCGCAAATAACTGTGTTCAAGGAGCTTATTTTTCCTTCGTAGTAAGATTAGAGTCACGATTCGAAATAAGTTTGATATTTAGGAGTGTTTCCACATCAAATGGACAGCTGGGTCACCTTGAGCTGTACCTTGTTCGACGAGGAGCAATACCTATGCTCCCTTTCCTCGGTCCTCCGGCCCTCAATA